AAACAACTTTAGGAAGATAGTCAGAATGCCCTAGAAACAACTAGCGGCTAGAGCTTACAACCCCCGAGAATCCGGCTTTAAATCAAGAGGAAGACCAAAAAAGACCTGGCTGGATGGGGTTAAAAATGTCCTGGAACAACATATCTATCACAGACGCTACACACTTAGCACAGGACCAAAACCTGCACCTGGTCCTCCCTTTGACGTCCTAAGGATATCAAAGGAAGGAAAAAGTAAGAGTAGGGAAAATAGTCTGGTCTGGTAGACTCTACTGTACTTAAATACTTGCTTTACCAGTACATCCTGTGTTGTTTCTATACCTGCTGTCTGGCTTGCTTTACTTTGCATTTATTGACCAATGTATAGAACTTACTTACTTTACTTCACTTTTTTCTTCCGCTTGTACCGGTGGGTGTCGCGGGGAGACACAGGCGTCTGTCTGCAGCAATGCGAGTGGCCTGTAGGAAGGATATCCCGTGAGATCTGAGGGTGTCTGCCACAGATTCACTCCAGAATCGCCTTGGTCTTCCTCTGGCTCTCCAGCCAGAATATTTGATGTTATATGCCCTCAGACTCAGAGCTGGTTGGTTTTAGGGCGTCCGTGTGAGGTGTCCGAAACACTTGATTTTTTTGTTTTTCAATATGTGGTAGGACTGGCGTTGCTCCTACCGGGTCCCTTATGATTTCATTTTTTTTTGGGGTCTCTTCTTGGCTTGTTAGTCGCTCTTCATCTCGCATGTGACCGGCTTCCTCTCTAGGGCTTTGTTAGGGACCATGTCGGGCACTGATATGTGAGTGTTGTTTTGAAAAGGGCGTTGATGAGCTTCGCCTTGGTGTTCATGTAGGAATTGGGCGAGTTGATAGCTGACTGCATTGTACAGAACCGAACAATGATTCTTAAAATAAACCCACCGCCTTTGCTTCTCAAGACGTCACGCCAACCAAATTGTAGCACCACAGAAAGTGGATTCAAGTCCCCTGATGTGTGAAGTTGGGCCAAATAAGTTTTGAATGGGGGGACTTAAGTTTACGTTTATATTTGGTCGCTTTTAAGGACTAGCGGGCTTATCTAGATTTCGGGAGTTTCCTGAAATTTTGACCTAGACCAAAAGTGGGCATTGCTCTACCTATAGGAGAAGTTTGGTTTCATTGGTGTGTATATTTGTTTGGTTATAGAGAAAACTCTTCTTGTCTTTTAAAGAAACTAAACAAGGGGCAAAAACTTTACCTTCGATTTCTCACAACAGCATTTTTCGGGATAGCCCCCTTGTGCTTAAAAGCGACCATTTGCAACGATGTGTTCTCCTTAAATCCACAACATCGTGAGATCATTATCTTCCCATACCTGGAGGCTTGGTGGATACTGCAAGGAACAAAAACCGATTGTGATTGCTATATATAACCGCCAGAGGGAGTTGCGAAACCGTTTGTGGTCTGAGAGTGCTCAAGGTAGTTGATGATTTCAATCTCTTCAGAAGGGTAATGTTTTACTCGTAATTGAACTTCTTTCAATGATGCCTTTTTTCCCCTTTTTCACTTCTTTTATCCATTCTGTCTTTCACTACATCTCTTTCTCTCTCTCTCTCTCTCTCTCTCTCTCTCTCTCTCTCACTCTCTCTCTCTCTCTCTCTCTCTCTC